TGGTTTAGTGACGATTCTCATATACAACTGCACATTAGGATCACCCAAGGTGTGTCGAAAAAATTCAGAGGCAAGGGGGCTTGGGCTTGGTCAGTAAAGTGCTTAGCCCATGGACAAAAGGACCCAAGTTCAATTTCTAGCATCCACACAGAAAGCCAGGCTTGGTGCACCATGTTCTACTCCATGGAAGTAGAGTCAGAAGGATTGAGAAACTATAAATCCCACTGAAAGACTGTGTGTGCGTGCGTGTTAATATCTGGTCTCCGCATGCACTTACATGTGCATATACATGCAATTACACACATCTGTGCACAGAATTCAGAGCTAAATCCTCCTAGCTTACAGCCCACAGAATCAACCCCCTCTTGGGTTGAAACTCAGGAAGCTGGTTTACTACAGAGTTCTGGAGTTCACTGACAATCTGCTCAAAATGGAATTGAGGGCCAGGGATCCAATGCCCAGCATTGTAAGAAACTTGGCCATGGCAACAGAAAGACCAGAAGATCAAGGTCATCTTCAGGCATTTACCGGGGTTAAGGCCAACCTGTCTTTAAATTTAAAAAAGAATGAATGGACAAGGAGATCTGTTTAGTCTGAGTAAAGGTGTTGGCTGCCTCTGCCCTTAGGTACACTATAAGGTGCAATACAAGGTACACAGTGGTTTAAACTCTTAAGCATTTATTCAATTAAATTCCACGTTCATGATGATAAACACAACCAAAGTTACACTTCTTATGTATATGCACTTCAGTGTGTTCCAAAAAGACTATATCCTGGGAAGGAGGTTGCTAGAAAAATGCCTCAGCAGTTAAGAGGGCTTGCTGCTCTTTCCAGAACCTGAGTTCAGTTCCCAACACTCAAAACAAGAGGCTCACAACACCTTAAGTCAAGGGGATCTGATACCCTCCCTGGGCTTCCAATAAGCATGTGCATACATGTGGCATACACACAGACACACATTTAAAGACTGTATATTTTTATAGACCTTACTGTGTAGCTCCTTCCACATTTGCTGGCAATAAGCAATTATGATCAAGTTTTAAAACATAAAAACAAATCCATGGCATATTAAAACATTACAGAAACACTTCATATTGTTCAATGTTCAGTATATGAATGCAGACTACAGGAACCCTAACTGCAAGGAGCAAAAGGCACATTACATACATTTTTTATGCACACATATCAATATGATTACATATGGCTGGGACTGGTGAGACAAAACTATACCCACATACTTAGGAGGCTGAGGCATTTCAGGTTCAAGGACATTCAATCCCCACAGAACCACTGCATTATACAATAAGGGCTACAAAGAATATGGACTTCAAGTTAATTTTTTTGTTTTGTTTTTGTCTTTCGAGACAGGGTTTCTCTGTGTGACAGCTCTAGTTGTCCTGGAACGCCATTTGTAGACCAGGCTGGCCTCGAACTCACAGACCTGCTTGCCTCTAGAGTGGTGGGATTAAGGGTGTGCTCAAATTAAGAATCTTTTTTGTTTTGTTTTGTTTTGTTTTGTTTTTTTTGAAGACAGGGTTTCTCTGTGTAGCTTTGGGGTCTGTTCTGGCACTCACTCTGTAGACCAGGCTGGCTTTGAAATCACAGAGATCTGCCTGCCTCTGCCTCCTGAGGGCTGGGATTAAAGGCATGTGCCACCACTGCCAGGCTCAAACTAATGATCTTATTAGTGAAAATATAGTTAATTCAAGTGCAGAGGCACACACCTATAACCAGTGGTGAGAGGCAGACAAGCAGGAGAATGCCCTTAAATTCAAAGTTGGCCTAATCCACCCTGGAACTCCAGGCTACCCAGGGCTACCCAGTGAGACCCTGCATGATACACTGCCCTCACCATACCCCAAAGTTAGTTAGGAAGACATACTACTTTTCTGGGATTTTACCACACACTTTCTCCTAAACCTGCAAGGAAGGACAACTGGCTGTAGCCACACAATTCTGACATTCACCAACCTAAGGGGAAAGAACAGCAACCCAAATGCTCTATAAAAATAAGATTGGATTATATCTTGCATTCACCTACTACCCCACATATGTTGACTTTTGCCTTCTGAATCCTGGCATGGGTGATCTTGTGATATGGCTTTGTTAACTCTTAGAACCATCACATGACAAAAACATAACTTTCATCTTATACTTGAGAGAACAGGAGCACAGAAAGATTAAAGGCCTTTGTGAAGGTCACTAAACTTCATCACTGAGGCCAGAACCAAAAGTGTCAGATACCTTGGGGTCTACAGCCAAGGCCACCATCATCCTCATACTCTTTAAAACCTGGTTCCTTACTCTCTGCCCCAGCAAGAACGAGCCATGCATGGCTGGCACACACAGGAGTCAGGTGCCATCTAGACTAAGATGTGGCATCTCTCTCATGTCTTTCACAATGGGGCCAAGAGTATCTAACAACCGTGACTGCCATCAACTTCGTGGATTGACAGCTCCTGTTAGGCGGTAACCATAGCTTCCTTCTTTCCCAGGATCCAGTACACTGGGCCCTCACTTCAGTTCAACAGGTATCGATTGAGAGTTGAGTGCAAGCAAATGTTTGTTGTATAATCAAATCTGAGAACATGCTTCCTTTAGAGATGACAAAGAACACCTTCCAGGCTAACCATGTGATGGCACTAACAAAAAGCAGCATTCATGGCAGTTCCTTCCAGCCAAGGACACAAGCACTCTGGACTTTTCCAACCCCCAATCCTAAGTCCCCTGCCACCTCCAGTTGACAGGAAGTTAAAAATCAACGCTGTGCGATGGGGGGAACTGGACCCACCAGTACACCTCCGCTCAGACAGTTAGTCTGTGACGCGGTTCTCAGAAAATGTCAACCCTGGAGAGGACATGGAAAATCACAGTTCCCAGAGGGAAGGGTAATGGATGACAAGGTCAGCTGAGTTACAGTGGAGGGCAGTTTGCCAATGGCCCTGTCATTAAAAAAAGGAGCTATATAAAGAGAAAGCATACTAACTTTAATTTTCTCAAGAAAACACTATTATCTGATTTTCAAAAAAACAAAACAAAACAAAACAAAACAAAACAAAAAAAAAAAAAAACAAAAAAACAACTTTTTGGTTGAGGGAGGATGGAGACAGGCTATTGGAGGAGTGCCTGAAATCCACTATGTAGCTCAAACTTGTGGCCATTCTCCTGCCTCATCTCATCACCACCCCACCCCACCAGTGTCCTGTGCTGGGAAATACAGGTTTGAGGTACCACCCTCAGCTTCAAGTTTGTTTTGCCAGGGGCAGCCCCAGTCATTATGATTGAGCCATTGAGACTATCTGACCACCTCAAAGTTCTGTTCTACTTGAAAGGAAAAGAAATGAGCAGTGTGGCCATACAGCCAAGTTCGCCTGTAACTGCAAGGCTCTAGGGACAGCTAGTGTGCTCCCCTTTGCCAACTTCCTACGGGCCTTGGTGAGCAGGCTGGCTGTCTGGTCCCTAGCCACCTGGTCCACAGGTCTGAGTCCTAAGAAGAGCAGTCAGCTTCGAGATGAAAGGCTGAAGCCTGGATGCTTTGTAACTAGGGTGATACTTCCTGTTTTATCATTTCAGTGAGGATGAGACCCAAGGCAGGCGTGTTTCTTTTGCACACAAGACATGAGGCATTCTAAAAGTATTCTTTGTAAATGTCCTACTGAGGAAACTTCTAGACATAAATGTTTCCAGAATTCAGACAGCAAGACTCCAAGTTCAACTTACTCATCCACTTACTTTACTAAAATAATTTATGTATCACAAAGCATTGGTCTAAATGGGTCAAGATGAGTTATGTGAGGGGTGTCCTTACAGCCTTCTGTAACACAACTAACTATTCTCTGAAGATAGAGTTCTATTTAGATTTTCTCCCAAAATATTCAAGTTACCTAGGACATGAAAAGGCAAAATAATCCACCCCACCCCCTATTTTGACTTCCTTCTCTGGCTCTGTAAAAAGCTTTGTGTTTGGCAGTGGTAGGGGATGAAATGGTTATTTATGGTTTCCATGGCCAACACCAGCCTCCTTAAGCTCACTGGGCTCCACATAATTAGCTTTCAGGAGAATCTGATTGAATTTGATGTGCACAAGACAGAGGGCAAGCAAGGAGCCCACGTGCCTTTTAGCTACAACAAGAAAGGAGCCACTGGGGAAGCAGGCAGGGGATCAGAACTCCGTGCTATGGGGAAAGATTAAAAACCATGAGACAGAACATTCCAGATAACTGTGCACCCTGGACTTCTATGAGTGCCCTGCCATATTAAATCACACATGGCTCCGTAATGAGAGGAAAAATTAAAGTCCATCTCATGCCTCACTTCTGCCACTGATTGAGCATGAGAAAGAAGATGAAGTCAGCCTTTTAAAGTTATTCGCTCAAAGGCATAAGTCATGGTCTGCACAGTTAAGGGCATAAGCTTGACCATGCAAGGTAAGAATCTTGTTCAACAATTAGCCGGTGTCCTTACATAAATAATTCAAAACAGGAAACCTAAATTTCTCTAAGCCTTTACTGATCTTAGAATGGCTAAGCTCTGACTTCTCCCATCTACAAATTCTGTGTGTCTGTTCTCCTGCAGTTCTCAAAACAGGGCAGCTTGCTCCTGAACATCTGCTCCTTCTACTTTTAATATTTTTCCAAAGCCGAAGAAGTGACGTCCTTCAGCAGAGTGAAGTGAATCCGAGAACCAGCTGCTCTTCCAAGGATGGAAGCAGGGAAGACAGTATGGGCACAATGGCCAATGGCATGTCAAGGAAACCCAGAAAATAAAAACCAATCTAGAAGACATGGTCCTATTCAAGCTGAACCATTTCTTAGGATGGCCAATCACCAACAAGAGTGCTGTCCTCAGGATTTAGGTAAGAAGAATGGGCTATTTTGTCACCAAAGCAGAAAACAGGAACCAGCTAGCTTGGCACCCCACAGTGCTATCTTGCAAGCAGTCCATAACAATTCTTTACTGTTGTCATTGTTGTTTCCCAAATGAAAAGTAGATCAACTTACATGGCTCTCTGGCAATGAACTGAGGTACAGTGTTGGGCAAAGGAGTACTGGGGTTTGGAGTCCCTACGAGTTTGTTCTTGGCCATCTTCGTGTTTGCCTTAGCAAACTCTAGTCGTAGTGTTTGCGGGATTTCAGGATCGAAACGGATGCCCTTTGGGAAAAAGAACAAATGAAAGATGTAAACAGAATAGTGACAAAATAAATACACACATAAACTCTGGCCTATCAGGGAACAAGGTCAGCAAGGGTTCTCATTCTCAGTATTTACAAACAACATGCAAAACCCACACTACAACGTAGCCAGAAAGCCAGGCAAACTTAGCTCACACCACCAGAATGAATCTTCAGTTACATGGATAGGCAAACATCTCTGTTCATCATGAACACTGTCTAATCTGCCTTTTAAAATGCAGACCAGAAAATACACAATACAGCTTAAAACTTTGACTAGCAGTTGCCGCTGAGACTGGACAATATGACTTCGATCCAGAAAGTGACGTGTTGGGCATGCTGGAGTTTGACACCCGAAATCCTGAGCAGGCTGCACTCTGAATGACACTATAAACAATGAAATTCTCCAGTGCTTTTAGTGTCATTACCTATAAATAGAGAAAAAGAACTCTGTCTCCAAGTCGGTTTTACAAAGGCAATACAAATCTCTGCATACTCAGAACATTGGAATTAAACAGCTACAATATAACTATTATCATTTAATTCTAGTTACTACATGAATTTGCTAGGCTTGAAGCAGTGAAATCCTGACTTCTTTTATGGTTGGTTTACAAGATACAAGAAAATACCAAGACTCCACAGGCCTGAGATGAAAATAACTTTAGTCACTCATCCCTATCACTGCAGTTGACCTAAAAAAAAAAAAAAAAAAAAAAAAAAAAAAACCCAAAACCATGTGTCAGACTGAGTAGGTGGAGCACACCTTTAAAGCCAGCACTTGAAGGCAGAGGCAAGTAATCTCTGCACTTGAGGTCAGCCTGGTCTACAGAGTGAGTTCCAGGACAGCCAGGGCTACACAGAGAAACCCTGTCTTGGAAAAACAACAAGAAAAATCATGTTTCAATAAAACAGACCCCAAACACTTTAAACTACAAAATTTATATCAAGTAGGTTTCAGGACTTTCTCACTCAAGAATGTCTCCATTACCAAACAAAACTAAGAGCCTAATGAAAACCATTCAATGCCAGGAATTCTAGACATTACCAACAGTGTCAAAAAGGCACCCCAGATTCAGACCCCACATTTCCTTCAGTCTGAAAAATGGGGTTTACTAACACACAAACCTGCCATTTATGTGGGCCTGATGGTCTCTCACAACCTCTCTTGTCCTTTAAAGCGTTATCATTTGAGAACTTCATATAACCGTACTATATGTACACCATGCCCCACACCACTTCCTTCCCTTCCGCCTTCCTTCACTGTAGGAAATGTAGGACTGTTTCTACAAGAACTTAGTCGGAATCTCCGCAGACCAGAATGAAGGACTCTGAACCTCACAGGTTCAGTTCCAAAGCCACAAGGAAGATCCAGTGGCTGATGTTAACATGGAGTGGGCAGCTGTGGGTAAACAAACAACAGTCCTGGCCTACAGACATCCCAGAGGGCAAAGAACTTATTCCTGACTTAGTTACCTTTGGGGTCCGTAATTAGTAAAATCTCTGTATTATACTGTCAGAACGCACAAAAGGAAACAAATCTGAAGCAGCACTGACTTCCATTCCACCAATTTACAACTGAGACCTGATTTACTCCATCGAACCTATTAGCACTGGTTCACATCAGTTATCTTAGCACTTGGGAGGAAGCTGAGGCTAGAGGATTATTAGCACGAGTTCAAGGACAGCCTGGGCCACAGAGTGAGACCCTCACAACAAATTCCATATTCCCAGACATGAACTAAAGAAGTGTCTTTGCTGAGAAGCAACTGTCCCTCTGGAAGGCCTCACACACATTCACCAATGCAGGGCACATGTGCAGCTGCAGCACTCACTGCAGAGTCCTCTCCAACACTGAACTTCACCAGCTTTCTTTGCAAACTTTTTTTTAAGCCTGAGCTTGCATCAACCCAAGGACCTGATAATGAAAGCATCCTGGGTCTTGTCAATAGTCCCCTGTAGCATTTAACCTTGGCCCACAGGGGTGAACATCTGAATGCTATACTTCAGCTCACTTACTGGTGTTCCAGAATCCACCAAGGCCGTCAATATGCTTGCCCTCTTGCACAACAAACCTAAAACGTGCCGGACCGAGTCTCCCTCCTCCCTGCCCCCTTCTCAGCCTTCTCTTGTTTGAGCTAAAATAACATCAACATCATATTCCAAATCAAAGTTCCAGCATCTTATTAACGAAAACAAAACAAAACAGCTCAGAAGTTAAAATGACCTAATTTGTTTGGCAGCTTATTGGGAGGCTAGAGGCTCAGAACACAAGCCACATTCCGCCAGCATCTTTAGCAGCAATACCATATTTGGTAATCGATATCCTGATTCACTAGGTTTCTATCCATAGAGATTAGCCAAGTCCCAAACATTTTAAATGGTACAGGATGATGAGCTGGGGGAGGGAGAACATGCAGGGAAAGGGGGGTGGGGCGGGAGGAGAAAGATAGAACATGGCACAGGGGGAAATACCTTGTGCTTTTAATTAAAACCTAATAAGATCCCTCTCTGGCTACAGTAACGTGCTATTAAATGCTATCAGGGTGAGCCTATAGGCAAGTGAAGCAGGAATTCTCTGCTACTCAGAATCAACTTCTCCCCCTCCAGCTAACGATTTATCAAATGGCTATGATGAAAAGAAACTTTCTCTTCAAAATACAAATGACAATGAGTTTACATTGATCAGAAAAAAGTATGCTCTAGATACCAGTATAAATGTGGGGGATAAAGAAATTGTTATTTACAAGCCACTCAATCAAGCAGCTACAGGGGGTGGCAACAACCTCCAGCAATCCAGATCAGGTATGACCTGGAAGCTCAACAGGGCAGCCTGTGTGAGATGGTACAAGGCTACAGACAACAGTGAACCCTTGGAGTCTGCTAGGTATCAGAGAACATAGGGCCAGTCTCATGAAAGTGCCTGGGAGAGTGGAGGAAAGTATGGTGAAAAACTCCTGTTACCACACACAGGTTTCTGAAATGCCTGGGTATTGCCACACACACTTCATCTTTCTATTCCTTTTCTGCCTCTATACATACCTTTTACCACTATTTAAGTTTTATGAACAATGTATTAACTTTAAGGACTGCTCTGTGTTTTCTGGCCCAGCATCTAATCAGGAATCACACAGGACATTTACATGTCACCTGTTTAGTCTCCTTGACATTTTAAGAGGAATGACCCTCTGATTTGTAAATTGTTTCTCATTTTACTTTGTGTGTGTTGTGGGGGGGGGGGTCCTCATTTACATTTAGCATTATTTCAGTAGGCACACGATGTCATTTTGGACCCTGCCATTAGTGACAGGAGTTTTGATGACTCCCCATGCTTCCTCTAGTGTAAGAAGGTCACTGATACTGTTTTTGAGTTTCTTTGCAATGTATCACTGTAACCCAAACCCAAAGAGGCCCAACCTCAGCCTCAACAGCACTGGGAATACAGCCATGGACAGGAGTCACCAAGCCTGGCTAGCTCTTCCTAACTATTAAGTATCTTAACAGAATGGTCCCTCTAGGCTTTAGACACACCTCATTTCTCATCAAACCTACCATTACTGTAAGACTTACTTCTGATACTGACTGACGAATCGTGGTTTGGTGATTTGATCATTTCCCCTTTCGTGTGTGTTTGTGGTTTTTTTGTTTGTTTTTTGGTCTCACTACGCAGCTCTCTCTGGCTATCCTGGAACTCACTACATAGAACAGGCTGGCCCAAACTTGGGATCCCTTTGCTTCCCAAGTGCTGGGATTAAAGGAATGCACCATCAAGCATGGCTCATTCCCTTTCTGCACGGTAATTTTCCATTCCCAGGAAAACCTTTCAGCTACACCCTTTATGAGCCATTCACATCAGCAGTGACATACAGGTTCATGCTGTGCGATTATAATGCATTACTGTATGACTGACGGCCTCATTCTACCCAAACCTTGTCTTGGAGGCTTTCTCATCCATGGGTTCAACTGTTTGCACACTGAGAATATCTGCCACCAAAGCAACAATAACAAAGATCTAGATACTAGTTTTAAGAAGGTTCAGAAGAGCAATGTGGTGTGCTAGCTTCTACCATGAACTTGACACAACCTAGAGGCAGGTGTGAAGAGACAGGGACGCTGAAGTGAAGAACTACCCAGATCAGACTGGCCTGTGGCCATGGCTGTGAGCAAACACTGTGGATGGCAACTATATACAAGAAAGCTAGCGAGGCTGGGTATGGTGGTACATGTCTTAAATGCAGTACCAGGGAGGCAGAGGCAGGTAATCTTTGAGTTGGAAGCCAGTCTGGTCTACAGAGCAAGTTCCTGAACATCTAGGGCAGTTACAGAAAAACTCTGTCTTGAAAAAACCAAAAACCAACAAAAAAAAAAAAAAAAAAAAAAAAAGCCAAAACCAAACCAAAGGCAGAGGGACAGGGAGGGAGCTAGTTGAGGATCAGGGTTGGGTTTCATCACCTACGAGGTAGCTCTCAAGTGTAACTCCAGTCCCAGGGTATTTTAACAACTTGATACCCTCTGCTGGCTTCTTGTGGGTACTGCACACACATGCATAAAATACTCATACACATAAATAAATCTGGCTTCATATGGTAGTGACCTTTTGTTTCAGCGCTTGGGAGGCAGAAGCAGGAGGGTATCTCTGATTTGAGGCCAGTCAAGTTCACATATTGAGCTCCAGATGAGCAGGACCACACAGTGAAACCTCATCTTTAAAAACAAAAAGAAGAAAAATGAAAACGAGAGCCCCTTATCTGAGCCAGGCACTGAGCAGGCCAGCATGGTTTCTTTCTGAGTTCCTGCCCTGAATTCCCTCAGCGATGGACTACAACCCTTTCCTCCCAGAAGACCCTCTCTCACTGCTGCAGCTGCTTACAGATTCTCATTGCTAACTAAGTCTGGTAGTTTTCCTGCATTCTAACTCAAAACAGAATTACTTTTTTTCCTTTCCACCTTTTTATATCTCCTTTGGACACCAGCCAGGGCCCT